TTATGTCTAGTAATGTCTTGTCATCGAATATCACTGTTCTATACTTCCTACTGAATCTTCGAATAAATTCTTCGAAATTCTCGTGACTACTTCCCTTGAATACCCCTGGGCTCACACAAGCATTAGCTTGAATTAATGCCATGATATTTACAAGGTTCTGACCTGATGTTCCTATTGCTTCTTCCGATCCCTCCGAACGCGGCCTCCAAACTTGCCCGTAAGGCGCTCCAATCTGCGATCTCCGATTTCTCGCTGCTCCCTGAATACCTTCAGTTCTCAATGATTCGTGATCCCTTCCGAACGTAGTTCTTGACTCACCATCTGTTTCCATTTTTTCTTCTTCCTGTGTGGGCTCTAGTCGACTTCGTTGCCCATTTCTCGGCAGCTCGGCTAGTACTCCTCGGATGTGACCAACGTCAGACTGAAACATTTCACATATTTCAGCTAAAAGCTCCCCGTCACGTTCTGTCACCTTTACAAATTCCTTCCAATCGTCCATACTTTCTATTCCCCTCTCATGAAGCTCTTGGAATAGCTCACTACCAAAAAGCTTATACCCACTGGCCCTCTCTTTTATATCCTCCAACATCTTACATGCTTCCTCCGCTTGGATATCCCACACTCTCATCAACTGGGTGCGATACTTACCCGCGATTCGGGCCTCCGTCAAGTCTTTCTCAATCCTTGACGGTCCCTGTCTTATTTCCTCTATCACTTTGTCCAACCTCTCACTCATACTCTCAACCGCAAATTCTTGTTCCTCACCACTAACCTGCATCAGATTGACTCCGTCCGACCCTTTGTCAGCGGCTGGTACTGCATTTTCTGACACCATCTTTCTGAAAACGTCAGCTTGAATCTGTCGATATGTCAGTCAGATAAAATCAATCAATCGATACGAATATCACACAGCAATCAACGTAATCAATCGCGAGTCCACGAAACCAACGCGACCAATACTCTCACTCACTCTTTGGCACCCTGAGACGGCTTACTTTGCGTCCCCTTTAGTGCCTGTATTCTCTCTCTTTCACTCTCACTTATGATCACAGTCAGTGATCAGTACTATTGATCGTGGGTGCCTTTCCAACTTTTCGGCGTGCCCACCAATGCTCAACCAAGAGCAGCCTCTCTATCTGCTACTCTGTCTTCTCTGGTCTCACACTTCCTCAACCTAATCGATACTTTCGAACGGTTCGGCCCCCATGTACCGAATCGTCAATTCGCAATGAAAGTATCGACCGTTTCCAACGGTATGAGCCAGAGCGCACACGATTACAAATAACAATTTATTTTATAACGACGATACAATAATCGACGCGGTTGCAACGAAATAACGAACAACAGGAGGTATAAGCCTCCTAGCGAAGAAAACAATTAGAAAAAAAAGGTCCAGTATAGAGGGGAATGGAGGGGTCCGGGCGGAGACGTTCCCTTCTGCAATTTCTTGACGTCCTTAAATAGCATCCTGGTTCCCGCTCAGATCACTCCGGCGCTTGGTAGGTCGATGCAGCGATCTGGGTTCTACCCACACACTCCCCATTCAGTTATGTATATGCGAGTGAAAGCGTTTGCATTGTGGAGAAGTAGTGAGCCAACAATCTCAAGAATCGGCTGTACTGCGTAAAAAGTGTGAGATTGAAGCAGGCCAATTATTACCTCAGAAAGGCAAAAAAAGTTACTAGTGGACGGCAGACTTCGCCAAACCCAGTATAATGCGTTTCCCCGCTGCTAACATCTGTGAGCACTGCCGTGGATTTACGGCGGGAACTTCTGACCACGGACATAGGTTCTGGTTTGCGAATTGGCTCAACCCGGGAACACGGCGAATTTTTCGTTCATGAGCTCCGACATTATTGATGATAGCATGAATCTCAAGCGATTTATTGGAGACATAGAACTGTGCTGGCTCTGCATATACCGAGGACGATTCCTTGAACACCTTCACTCACCAACGATGCGCTCTTCGCTTTCTAAGTGGTAACGAGATGCGATCTTGGCGATGCACTCCACTCTCCATGTCCGTGAATTTTATGCAGTAAATAAACAAAAACATAAATAGCACAAAACAGTAACCTATAAGAGTCTAATTATTCTGATCTCAAAAATACGCAAAAAAATTACGAAGGGTTGGTAGACGATCAGTAGCTGGCAGCGCATGTGGGCGGCCAACACGGCGTCCTGTGGGCAGCAAGTTTCTAACTATCCTGTCACTAAAACTCACAAGATACTCGTCTACCGAACTAAAAACCGGCCTCCTGCTCTCCCTGTCTAACCTGTACAGCCCGGGAATATACAAAAATATCATTACTTCCAACACTACGATGAACGGATACAAAATCGCTATCACCCTCAATTTCTACGTATAGCTCATTCCTTTCCATAGCGCTCATGCCTTTCAATGGTCTTTCACGGGGCCGGCCTTCACTATTCTCTCCAGAGCAGCGCGCTGCGCCGCCAACGGTAAGCCCACCAGAGGGTGGTAGCAATGATTTTAAGTGCCTTCTTTTGAGTCACCACGACAGGCTTTGGGACTCACTTTTCCAATTTCAACTCACAACACATTCGGATACTGGGGAAGCAGACGTGCAACATGATTTACCCATGTAGTAAAATGCCTCCCCTCATAAAGTCATAGATCCACTATCGTAAGAACGCCTGGCAGTAGTCTCTGAAGCTAACAATGGTCCGACATTGGTTTTTCATCCGACCCTGGAGAAAATGAGAAATGATTGAACTCAAAATGAGCGGTGACAGCCCGATTAATAACCACAACTAATCACCGAGTTATATAGCTAAGGTATCGACCAACGAGTAGTTTTATGTGCCCATAAATTTTGATTTCATGAGTACAGCAGGATGGTAGGCAATTAAAGCAGCACTCCTGAAACGACTTTGGTGATATTTTCCGCACTGATCTCTTGGCCTCACTGAGGATGAAGCTGTAACTGAAAAAAAAAACGATTCCGACCAAAAATCAAATAGTGAGCGTGTAGTGCAATGGTAAGCGGGCTACTCACCAAGGCCACAGTCAAGGGGTCCAATTGTGAGTACCCGACAGGAGGCCCGTCGCGCTTCAAGAAGGTACAGTCAGCGGACGAGTCGCAGCGCGTACTGTAGTGATTTCGCGTCAAGTTAAATAGAATGTGCCATTGTACGTCCTACGCACGCGCTGCGACTCGTCCGCTGACTCTGCCTTCTTGCCGCGCGACGGGCCTCGTGTTGGGTTCCCTCCAATTCCGAATCGACTTTTACCCAGGCCAACGTAACCTTCCAGACTTGGCCAATTAATTAATATCAGATTCGCCTGGGAGGATTGAAACACCTATGTATCCTTACGGCGGCCGGCCCCACTGTATAGGCCTCAAGTCATTGTATTCGGCAAGTCGCGCCCAAATACCCTCGCGATTATCAATGAAATTGCGAGTCGTGGCGCATCCCGGAACGGACGAATTAATGCTTGGTTTCGCGTGAAGAATGGCAACTAGTTCAGGCAAGTACACAAAGTAAACATTCTGAATTTCTAGAAATTGGAGGAAAGTGGAGCAGAGAGTTTTCCTCAGTGGGTTGGAGCGCCTACGATACCGTAAATATCTATTTTCGCTGTAAAAGACATTCCAAGCCATTAGCTCTCACATTTTGCATGCTAACGTCGCTCCTTTAAAGTTCTTCAGTGAACAATATGTGTTATTTTGTTAATTTTTTGCTATGGCAGCTATATTTCCCTAAAAAGGTCGAACTCTCCTTATTTTTTCATTGTGTGCTACTTTACATACAACTGAAAACTGTGGGTTCC